CCCCCACCCCAGGTTTTAGAGATCAGTGTGACACAATTCTGTCCAATACAGCAGCTTTGAAATGTGAAGCACAAAATTGTGTTATGTCAGGAAGGGGGAGGAGCCGGTGGTCAGAAAGCGAGCTGGGGGAGAGCCATTGACTCGATGGTGGTCTAGGGAGTGGCAGTGTTGGAACAGAAGTGGGCCAGGGAGGTCGTGCACTCTGCACCGTGAACCGGCTTTGCGGGCCACACAGTTTCTGTGAAAGAGTATTCTTTGTCATTTTTGTTTTTCACAACTGTTTACAAATGTGAAGGCCATTTTTAGCCCAGAGGCTGTACAGAAACAGGCCATGGGTTGGTGGCCAACCCGCTCCAGGTGAAAGACCATCTTTGTCTGTATAGTTAGGGAACAGTGGAGAGAAAGCTGCCTGAGCAAACAGGAGGAAGATTGGGGTGTAGCCAGTGAGGATGAAGCGGAGAAAGACAAAGGAGTTTAGGTAGTTGCAACAAATAGGAAGACACTACATTGTGACAGTCCATCCAAAATGTTGCCTGAGTGCTGGTGGACCCAGAGTCTGGGAGAGGAAGTGGGTGACTGCGCCACGGAGCAGGAAGCCCATCAGGGGGCGATGTCTGCATCACCTGGGTGGACAGCATTCTGTTAGCAACTGGTTTTTCTCCCCCAGTCATTATACAGGATACTTCCAGTGATGCATGAGGTTTATTTCTTTGTTTATTACAAACACCACTGCTAGGCAAGGGCAAAATTAAATATTCTTTTGATTTTAAAATAAGCCTTATACATGGGGCAAAATTTAAGGTACAAAAAAAGTAGCCCTGGCCGATATGGCCCAGTTTGGAGTGTTGCCCAGTGCGCCAAGAGGTGGGGGTTCGTTCAGTTCCCGGTCAGGGTAGCCAAGCAGTGCTTCTCTCTGTTGCTCTCGCTCACTCTCTCCCTCCGCCTCCCTCCTCCTCCTCTTCCTCTGCCCCCTCTAAAATCAATAATTTTTAAAGTACATATTGGAAGTAATTTTTAAGTGTTAGCCTTTATTGTTTTTCTTATTAGAAAACATTTAGCCCAGTAGAGTTCTTGTTTTTTAATGGGACAGAAGTCAAGGAGTATAAAGATCAGTGTCAGGAAGGTGTCCCTGGCTTTGCCCATGTGGTTCCCATTTGTTCTCTGGAGAGGAGAGCGCGCTTAGCTGAATGAAGGTTGGAAGCTCAACCTAGGGGCACCTGGCACAGCGGTGTTTATGCTCCAGCAGAAGGCTAATGCTCAACAGGGTCTCTGCCCGGACGGGTGGGGCGGTTCTGGCCTTTCCCTGGAGGAGCTTCAGACGCCGGTTGGGGCGGGCAGGGCGGGGGTCTGCCAGCCTTGCTGGGTGACCCCGCGCTGGCGGCTGCTCTGGACCCGTCTCCCTGGTCTTAGCAGCAGGCTGCGGTTTGGAAGTAGCTATGCGGGTTCAGGAGCCTGTTCTTTATTTCCAGGCAAAGGAAGCCCACAGTAAGCAGAAGGAGTTTGAAGAGACTGCAAAGGAGGCGCGCTGTGCCATTGAGCAGCTGGCGGCCGCTGAGTGACGTGCCCCGGGTCCCTGCGTGGAGCCCCCGGATCCCAGCTGTTCTGAGGGCCGGGGCGGTGCCTTAGGAAACAAGAACACCCACATTTTAAAATGAGGCTATTTTAACTGTCTTTTTGTTTTCTCTTGAAAGTGACGCCACGGCCACTTCTGCCGTTGCTCCTGGTGGTGTTGCTGGGCACAGTCCCTCTCTCTTTCTCTTTGGTCGTTTTTTTGCTTTATGGATCCTGGACTTGCCAGGAGGGAAACAGGAGTTTGGTCACGTGGGCAGAGCCCTTCCATAGGGCAGTGTCTGGGCGAAATGTCGACTGGCTGTGGAGCCCCAGGTTTGCTGTGAATGCGATCAGAGGTCCCCTGTCACTGGACAAATAGAGAATTAAGGATACCAATTAAGTTTTATTTGCATAACCTAACGTTACAGTGTGCGTTTCTTCTGTTCCCAATACTCTGTTATCTCACTTTAACAAGTCCTGCGGCCATCCTCTTAGGGGCCAGGCCTCTGACTGCTGAGTGATTAAGGGTTTCCTCACCTGGTTCATTTGTCATCTTCAAGGCCGCAGAGGGGCTTTAGGTAGAGCCCTCCAGTGACAGGCTCGAGTGGCTGGGAGGGACGGAGGAGGACTGACCTCTTGAGTAAAGCTGGCCTCTTGCTTTGAGGTCGGTTGGAGATCCTTCCCCTCCAGTGGGCACATGGCAAGGTGACAGCATTTCCCTAAAACAGTCAAGGAAAAGGCCCCTAATGCCTGACACAGCCTTTTCCAGGGCCCGGCTCTGCGCTTCATCCTTTCTAGTCAGAAGAGCGCAGAGCAGATTCTCCTGCGAGCCCTGCCCTGGACGGGCTGCCATCCACCCTGGGCGGGCAGGGGCGGGGGGAACCCAGGAAGGAGCTCCTGGGCTCACATTTCCGGTATTCTGCAGGCAGCTACTTCCCATTAAGGATGTGGGTTAGGCGGCTGATAATTCACCTGTCTTTCTAATATGAATCTTCCTAAAGTAGGACATGGAATAAATTAATTAAAAAATTGTACTGGAAAACCTTTTGGGAAAAATTTTTTAAATAACTTTCTCTCTTATTTGCAATCTTACAAGATCATAAATCCAGTGATGGTTGAGTTTCAACCCTAGTGTGGACTGAGCAAAAGGACTTGAGCGATCCCAGTGAAGAAAGCGGGTCTGGCACCCATGCTGGGCCTGGCCCTGGGCCTCGCCTCGCGGGCTTGGGCCCAGCCCTGGTTAAATCTCAGCTGCAGTTGCATCATCTGTCACACGGGGCTCATAAAACCTGTGCTGCCTCTGTTCCTTTTTTTGTTGTAGGCACGTAATTTTTTTTTTTTTTTTAATATATCTTTATTGATTTCAGAGAGAGAGGAAGGGAGAGGGAGAGAGGGAGATAGAAACATCAATGGTGAGAGAGTCATGGATCAGCTGCCTCCTGCACGCCCCCAACCGGGGATCAAACCCACAACCTGGGCATGTGCCCTGATCAGGAATCCAACTGTGATCTCCTGGATCCTAGGTCAATGCTCAGCTGCTGAGCCACACCCGACCGGGCGGTACATGGCTTTTCTATGATGAGGCGGGGAACTGAGACAGCCGCAGCCCCTCCTAAGGTTCTCCAGTGTTGTTGGAATTATTATTTCACAGCTCAGCACAAACTAGGGTTGTAAAGTGAGCGCACAGCCATTCTCAGCGACTGGGGAGACCGAAGTGAACCTGAGGTGGGTTCAGAGAGAAAGGGAGGTAGCAGGACATAGCACCTGGCAGAAGCTGTCATTTATGAAATTGCTGTGATTAGCCCAGTGAGCTGCAGGGCACAGACTGGTCGCTCCCTCCCCAGAACAATGCAGTGGCCTGAATCCTTTTTAAATGACTTGGCTCAGAGCTGTGGGGGACTCAGTGGGCTGCTGCGGGCGAGCTGTCAGCCTGATTGGCCCTGTCTCCCTTGCTGCGACACCCTCTCCACTTACCCGGCTCCACTCCAGTCCCAGCTGCCCTCCCCTGGCCAGCTCCCGCAGGGCTGCAGCCTGAGGATAAGATGATAGATTTGATGTCACCCCCTCCGTGAAGTTAAGCTGCCTGGTGGATGCTACTGTCCTATTGGAAACCTCCGGAGGTCATCTTGGTGGTTTCTGAAAAATAAAAACCATTTCATTTTAAACAGCTGAGAACCCTACTGGGTTTTCAAAATATTGTCAGCTTTTCATGGTGTTTTTTTTCTTAGCCTGCCAACTGAATTTTCCTGCCCAAACAGTTGTGGGGGTGGGATGCTTCCTGGCAGCAACAGAGCAGCCTCGGGCTCCTCTGCAAGGGCCACTTGAGCCCCAGGCCCATTCACTTGTGTCCTCTGGACTCGCTCAGTGTGTAAACCAGCTGTGGAAAATCACCTCCAGCTTGTTTTCCTGCCGCCTCTCAGGCGGAGAGAGATGTTTCCCTCAGCTTGGAGAATGTCGCAGTGGTGTTGTTGGGGGAAAGCACTTCAGCCCCTTCTCTGTCTCAGCTGCAGTTGGACACTTCACCTTAATAACTGGTCCTCAAGCGGCTTTGTCGAGAAGCTGAACACCATGCTTATCACTGGCCTTTAGTGACTGCCAGTGTTGGGGAGCTTAACAGACATCTGCTGATCAGGCCTTAGGTCCTTACTTCACCTGTGTGCTGGTCACTGCGTCCAGCAGTTGAAGCCCAGAGAGGACAGTGACCCGCTGTGAGCTCACAGCCTTGTTTTCTGAGTGGTGGGAGACAGAGGCCAACAACAGTCCTGTGAGTGTGGCACGTGTCCATAGGACACAAGGCAGCAGTGCACTCTGCCCTGAGTGGCGACAGGAGAGCTGAGTGTCTGTGTCCAGGATGGAGGAAGAGACTCCCGATGGACCCTGAAGGGGAAGGTGCACAGGCAGGAGGGACTGGAGTGCACTCCAGGGTACGGGTGCATCTCTGCCGTGGGGGGCCCGGGTGGCATCAGGCACCCTCCGTTTCCCTGTCAGCAAAGCCCCGTCAGAGAGTGCCGGCCCACTGGACAGATGCCGGTGAGGCCAAGGTGGCTGTGAGGAGCCTTCCCAGCCCGAGTTCCTGGGGGTGAGACCAGCCAGCTCTGTGGCTGCATCCTGGTCAGGCCACATCTCACAAAGGACGTCGGCTGTGCCGCCTGTGTGGAAGGCACATGCTTCCAGCCCATGACCGCAGCCTTGAGGACCCTGAGGATGGTGGGTTTTGACTAGAGCAGTGTCTCCAGGCTACTGGGATGGCCAGCTTCCCAATTCACCTTGTGGTTGAGGGGCTTGTTGGGAGTAAATGTGTGTGTCCTGTCGCAGGCTCTTTGCCCAGTGCCGTGAGGTCAGTCGCCGTGTCGCTAAGGCTGAGCTCCGACCATCCTTTCGACAGCCCTGCTTAGGGGCGGTGCGCCACGTTATACATGCCTCGTTGTATATTCCACATTACATATACCACATCCTCGGCCTGGGGCGGGAGGCCAGCCAGCCTCCTGTTGCCAGGTCCAGCATTCTGTCCTTCAAGCTGCTGTCCAGCTGGTTGAACGTAAGTGTAAAGAGGCTGTGCAGTCCTGTTTTTATCACTTATCATTGGAATTTCTTCTGTCAGAAGCTGATGCCGGCCCCTGATTTCGGCAGCAGTGTCTGCTGCTGGCTTTGACATGGCCCCAGTGGCCTGGAGATGGGCATGGTGCTCGCCGAGAGGCCTGCCGATTCTGGGCTACAAGTGCAGGAAAGGGGGATGAATCGTGAAAGAATGTGTTGTTCTAACGGTACCTTTCAGAGCTGGGCTGAGTGTAATTCGGGTCCATCTCAAGGGAAGGAGACTGAGAATTCATCACAGGTCCCTTGAGGGCCGGCGCCTGCAGCCAAGCAGACGTCCAATAATGGCTCTAACTGCACTTCTGACCCAGGGCTTTAAGCAAAGGGGTGCAGGCTGCTCATCTGGACGTCTCCACGCAAGCACGAGGGGGCGACACATCACACATCTACTCCTCTACAGAGACCCTGGCCACCGAGTCCTGTGCTGTTTAAGCTTTACAGAGGGTGGGGGTGGGGTGCAGAGGAGCCCCTTTCAACCCAGCTCAGGCCAAGATGGGGGTCACTGGGAGCAAGCATGTGAGCACCTACCAAAGGGGCTCTCCCTAGACAGAGCCTCTGGGCTCTTTCCTTAGACACGAAGGGTGGTTTTGACCCAACTAGGACCTGGGTAGGCCTCCCCCGACCCAAGACAGAACCGCAGACAGCTCTGACAGCCTGGGGGCCCTCCCATGCATGTCACCGCCCACTCCAGGTTTGGGCCCTCTGTGGTCCCCCTGCCTCCCACCGGGAGAGCCTGACACCTTCCTCCTGTCCTCCAAGGTGCTTCCTACACGCTTGCTGAGAGGGAGAGACAGGCAGAGGCTGGCTTTCGCGTGTAGCATTGGTAACGAGGGGCTAAGCGAGACTTCCTTCTGTAGCCCCTTGCCCCCCCACCCTCTGCCCACCCACCCACTTTACTGGGTCCCTCTGACAGGACCAGGCAGGGGCTTAGGGCCCCAGCCAGGGTCCTGCTTTCTGCCTTTCAGGCTGCGGGCTCCCAGGGTAGGGAGGGGCTGTGCCTGCTGAGCCCCCTCTGGGCATGTCCAGGCCCCACCCTTCTTCCTCCCCAGCAAGGCCATTTGGTGGCTGAAGAGCCCCCAGATTTAATGATTAAGAAATTTGCTGAAGGACCCATGGCCAGCAGCCAGCTGGGCAGGGGAGCTGGGCCATGAACCGGGGTGGGCAGCACGTCCACCTGCAGCTCCCAGATTTCTTCCTTCCCCGAGGCCAAGCCGGCCACCGCGGAGAGGGGACCCATTCCCTGCAAACCTGAGGGGCCTTGCAGGCAGGCCCCGGGCGCTGTGCCCAGAAGAGCCTCCGGAGCTGCCGCGCCGCC